TGTGTGTGTGTGTGTGTGTGTGTGTGTGTGTGTGTGTGTGTGTGTGTTTTAACAGGTTATTAATTCAAGGGGTTAGGGAAGAGGGCCTGTTTGTTTCTGGGAGGGGTTGGCAAACAGGGCAAACATGATCAAAACATGTAACATGAAATCAGTCTGAGAGAACTTATTTTTCCTGTTTGTTTGTTTTTTTTTTTAATTGAAAACAGGTTAGGAGCTTGATACAGAGGGCCTCTGAAAGGCTCTGCCCTGCAGACTATCAAAGCAGATGCTGAGACTTATGGCCAAGTCTCAGAGTGCATGGAATGTTATGAAAGAAGTGAGAAATAGAAGATTTGGAGAGGACAGGAACTCCACAAGGAAAGCAACAGAACCGAAAAATCTGAGCACAAGGGTCTTTCCTGAGACTGATGCTCCAACCAAGGACCATGCATGGAGATAACCTAGAACCCCTGCACAGATGTAGCCCATGGCAGTTCAGTGTCCAAGTCGATTCCATAGTAATGGGAACAGAGACTGTCTCTGACATGAACTGATTGGCCTGTTCTTTGATCACCTCCCCCTGGAGAGGAGCAGCTTTACCAGGCCACAGAGGAAGACAATGCAGCCACTCCTGTTGAGATCTGATAGACTAGGATTAGAAGGAAGGAGAGGAAGACCTCCCCCATCAGTGGACTTGGGGAGTGACATGGGTGAAGAAGGGGAAGAGAAGGTGGGATTGGGAGGGGAGGAGGGAAGGGTTACTGGGGGGGGTACAAAGTAAGTAAAGTGTAATTGATAAAAATTAAAATAAAAATTGTAAAAAAAAGAATAGATTATCTCATCCGATACATCTCAATCATTTTTCCTCCCTCTACCTGTCCCAGCTACCCCCCACCAATCTCCTCTTTTCCCAGATCCACTCACCCTCCATTTCCCTTCAGAAAAGAGTAACCTCCAGAGGCAACAGCCAAACAGGAAAAGACAAGATACATCAACACACAGTAAAAGCCTCCATATTGTAGCTGGACAAGGCAACCCAACAGTGGGAAAACAGTCCCAAGATTAGGCGAGTTTGCTCCCACTGTTCGGAGCACCACAAAACCACAAGCTAATAGCTGTAACATACACATAGAGGACTTGGTGCAGACCCTTGCAGATCCCATGCTTGCCTCTTCAGCAGATACCTGTTTTTGTTTTTGTTTTTTAAAGATGACATACACTAATAGCTATTATACTTTTTAAAAAGGGAGAGAATCCTCCTCAGCAGGATTTAGATGAGATAAGGAAGCTTCAATGAGCTCTACAGACATCCCATTCTTACGTTCTGCAACAGAATTTCATACAAGCTAAGTACTGTTAGGTGTGGAGAAGGTTTCCCCTGAGAACCACCTTAATTTGGTTACTGGTGCCATGGTGAGAAATCATGGTGGAGTACAGGATGGATATGAGATACATACTAAAGGTATAGAAAAACTAGTTAAGGCAAATACAGTAGAAAATTTACCAAATCCAAAACCAGTAGACGTTTACTATCCACAATATACATGGCTAATAGAACACTTACTATCGTATTTTATCATATTGTTAAAATGCTAATACAGAACAAAAATTTTAAATGTGAAAGTGTGAAATTGCTTACAAAATGGAACTTATCAAATTTTCATCTAATCAAAAACCTATGTAATGTAAGAAACAACCTATATAAAAAACTATATTTGTAAGAAGCCTACAAATAATTTTAATATTTAATAATTTTGAAACAGTAAAAAGAGCCATAAAATGAATAAAACCTAAGTACTAAAGATATTTATCAAATTATCCCATAAACTAGCTAATATTCAACAAATATACCTATAAAATAACAAGGACAATGACAACATCATTCTACAAAATCAGTATTTCCCTAAGCTAGATGAGGGCAGAACAAGGGAAATAATAGACCATTTTCCAAGGTAAACACAGGCCTAACAATCCTTAATAACCAAACCAAATTGAACAACACTTGAAAAGATAATATAACAGAATCAAGTTATCATTATTCTAACAGTGCAAGAATGGTTCAACAGATGCAAATTTGTAAATAAATGTTTATATGAAAATATAATCAAGGACAAAAATCCCAGTCGTTATAAAAGATTCAGAAGACTCATAACCAAACCCTCGGCAGAGTGCAAGGAATCATATGAAAGAAGGGGAGTTTGATGTGGAAAGGATAGGAGCTCCACAAGGACCAAACATATCTGGGCACAGGGTCTTTTCTGAGATGAACACTCAACCAAAGACCATGAGAGGATAAAACCTAGAACCTCTGCTGGGATGTGACCCGTGATAGCTCAGTAATCAATTGGTTTCCCATAGTAAGGGGAACAAGGACTATTTCTAACAGGAACTCAATGACTGGCTCTTTGACCTCCCCACCTCCCAAGGGAGGAGCAGTACTGTTAGGCCACAGAGGAGGACTTTGCAGCCAGTCCTGAAAATACCTGACAAAACGGAGTCATATGAAAGGGGAGGAGGTCCTCCCCTACCAGTGGACTCGGAAAGGGGCAGGGAGGAGATGAGGGAGGGAGGGTGGGATTGGGGAGGGAATGAGGGATACAGCTGGGATACAGAATTAACAAAATGTAACTAATGAGAAAAATAAAATTAAAAAAAATGTTTCTTACAAATCCACCATTCCTTCATGATTAAACAAAATTTTAAAAGTAGGTAAAACAGACTACATTTGAGAAATACAGAGACTATACATAAGACACCAATATCCAACAGTAAACTCTGTGGAAATAACACTGAAATGATAAAACAGAGGTATCTGCTCTCTCCACATTTCTTCAAATAACTGAAATTTATATCTGGAGCAGTAAGAAAGGAATGGAATGATAAGGCAAAAACTGGAAAGGCAAAAAAATCAAATTTTCCATGTTCTGAGATGATATAGTTAAGTGTGTAGAAGTAGTATCGAAAAATCCATAAGTGCTCCATCAAAGGCTCTTAAATCTCATATATATTCTCACCAGAACAAGATGAAATAAAGTTAAGCATTGTTCTCTACATCCTTGGTCAAATTTCAATAACTGGTCAGTCCCACATGGACAGTCACATTGTACTGCTGGTACATATCATATCCTGCTTCCTTTGCCACGGTGATGGCATGCCTCCATGGTTTAACTGGAAAATTTTCCCTCAGACATTCTCCTTTCAAATGAAATTCATATGAGCTCTTTCAAAGCACCTTCCCTATAGTTTTAAGAGTTCAAGTTTTTCCACTAATCTCTTTAGTAACCATAGTTACTTTGTTTCAACTGTCCCTGTCCTCAGCTTAACTCACCAACTTGGGTGTTTTTCATATATGCTGCCTTGCTTTATGCTCCCTTTCATTGTAAATATGATAAATAAAACAAGCAGTAACTCTGCCAAAGCCTAGTTGATATGCTGTCTTAATATTATCTTTGCCAAACAAATTAATCCATACTTTTTAATTCAGCCTCGCTCAAATTTTAAGACACAGGCAGAGAGTAGCTGGATACTTTGAGAGTACTAACACAAATTGGTTCTAATCTGATTCCAAGGGAAGTATTCTTTACAGAAATGCTGTGAGCTTAGCCCTCTTTGTCCTCACGTTATTTAGCACATTTATCTTCCTAACTCTCCTTATTACTGTCTGCTAATCACTGTTTGTGTCATGCTATAGCTTCTCTAGTCCACATTCCTTCTATACAGCAGTTACAGAAACAAGAACTGCATAGTTAGGTAGTCATGACAACGATCTAACTTCTCAGTGCCATTTTTAAATGTATATATTAGTTACTTCTGTTGTTTCTGTAGCAAAATTCCTGACAAAAAAAAAAAAAGAATGGGAAAGGATTTATTGTAGCTTACAGTTGGATGGAAAAAAAATCCATCATGGTGAGGAGATATAGCAAGTTGATTTGTATCAGTGAGACCAAGTGGCTGTTGCTTGCAGAACAGGGAAGCAGAGATGTGGGCCAAAGCAAAGGGATCTATAAAACAACAGCGGTACAATAGTACCGTCCTTTCTCCCTTTCTCCAGCAAGACTCCAGCTCCGTAAGATCACACAACCGTCTCTTCTAAATTTTTAAATTGAAATTATCAGTAAAGGATATATTATTTTATACTGTTATAACAGTACAAGATAATTTGAACACAGGGAACTTCCCAGAGACTCATAACTCCAACCAAGGACTATTTGTGGAGATGACCTGGAACCCCTGCACAGGTGTAGCCCATGGCAGTTCAGTGTCCAAGTGGGTTCCATAGTAATGGGAAGAGGGACTGCCTCTGACATAATCTGATTGGCCTGCTCGTTGATCACTTCCCCCTGAGGGGGGAGCAGCCTTACCAGGCCACAGTAGAGGACAATGCAGCCACTTTTGATGAGAACTGATAGACTAAGATCAGAAAGAAGGAGAGGAGGACCTCCCCTATCAGTGGACTTGGGGAGTGGCATGCATGCAGAAAGGGGAGGGAGGGTGGGATCGGCAGGGGAGGAGGGAGGGGCTCATGGGGTGATACAAAATGAATAAAGTGTAATTAATAAAAAAATAAAAGATTTAATTAAAAAAAAGAAAAAGAAAAAAAGAAAAAAAAACAGTATATATCCTGTTAACAGGTAGATAAAAATCAACAGTCAGCCTGTTGCAACCAATGGACAAAGATTATTTTAACAAATGTCTTCAGAATACATACACATTCATCTTAAACTACTTTGACAATTCCAAAGATGACCCATTTTAAGGGCAATAAACAAGCCTCAATTAATTTCTAAAAGCTACATTTGTGTATTAGCTAATAACAAAAATTTTCACTGGAAATCATTCTACATAATATTTTCTAGGAAATACCAACTTCTTAAAGCATTTTAAAATTTTTAATTAAAACCTTTATTATTTTTTTAAATAATTTATTCACTTTGTATCCCAGCTGTAGCCCCCTCCCTCATCTCCTTCTGGTCTCACCCTTCCATTCTCTTCCACCTCTATGTTCCTCCCCTAATCCACTGATAAGGGATTATCAGTGGATTATTCTCCCCTACTATCTGACCCTAGTCTATCAGGTCTCATCAGGATTGTCTGGACCCTCTTTCTCTGTGGCCTAGTGAGGCAACCTCCCCAAGAGGAGTTGATCTAAGAGCAGGCAACCAAGTTCATAACTGGGACTACCACTGCTCGCTTTACTAGAGAACCCCCATTGAGATTGAGCCTCCCATCACCTAAGTCTGAGCATGGGCTCTAGGTCCAACAGAGGATTAATATACAGAATATATAAAGAACTCAAGAAGTTAAATACTAACTAACCAAGTAATCCAATTAAAATTGGAGTACAGAGCTAAACAGGGAATCCTCAACTGAGGAAAATCGAATGGCACAGAAGCAGTTAAAGAAATGCTCAAAGTCAATCAGATTATGTCAGAGGCAGTCACTCTTCCCATTACTATATAACCCACTTGTTCATATGTCTATGAACAAGACAATATTTTAGAGATATTTCAGACATTAAAGTAATAACAATCATGAATGTTCCTTATTAGAGGCCATAGCTAGTGCATTAGTAGGGAAAGAAAAAGACAAAAAGAATGAAAACTTTCTAGTCATTAAAGATATGGTTGAGCATAAAGTTCTAGAAAACTTAGAATATTAAGTGGACTTATTCAGGATATGAGAGTTTGTGGCTCATATAAATATCTGCTATAATTTTATGTGCTATCAATAAACATCTGAAAACCATTTAAATTATTTTTAAAAAGTAATTGTGGACTAAATTCAAAGGGAGAGTTGCATTATTTACTCTTTAGAATTTTAATATTGTTGATGAATTAAAGAGGCCCTACTAAAAAATGGAATCAGGAGTGATTTACCTGCAAGTTTCAATATCAACACAATGGTAATCACCCCAGAGTCCACAGACCCAGTGCAAGCCTAATAAAAATACTATTGTGCTTTTTGTGTTAGAGATTAATTAAGAAGGTTCTCTGTAGTGTTTTAATGCCTGATAAACACAGTTCTACAACCAAATTTTACAAGAGATAATGAAAGGTGAAATGAAAGTAGTATTGAAATGAGCGTAGGCTTGTAGATTAATTTAACAGTACATACATAATCCCAATGAGTCCTGTTATGATCGGTTCCACACGTGTGTCATTGTAATTCTGTGGGAACAAACGCTCTTTTCCAAGGAATGACACCAGACAAACAGATCAATGGATGCAGTATCTACTCCCCACCAGAGAGCCAAAAATGTCATACCTGTTGTGTGACCGCTGCAGCCAGCGTGCCCCCAGAACTGTCGCCTGAAATAGCAATCCGGGTAGGATCTACTCCGTATTTTCTAAGAATTCTATCCTGAAGAAAAAACTTGACTGCTGTGACACCATCTTCAAATTGTGCAGGGAAGTGATGTTGAGGAGCCAGCCTGTAACTTGGAAACAGAGAGTGTATGTGGGCAACAAGGACTCAGACATCTAACACACGCAGTTTAACACCAAGTCTTACTGTTCAGTTTTTAAAACCTGATCTAACATTTTCTTCTAATGTTTAATTCAAATTAAAGTCAATAAAAAGTAATTTGAAACATGTAATTAAGTCAATGCTGATGTTTTGCCTGAAGGTGGTGGATTGCTATAAACCCCTTAGTTTTGTAAGGAAAATTTTATTTCAAGTGAATTTTGTACTTGAAATATTCTATATCTTTCTCCATTTTCTTAATAGAACTGAATATTTAAACATCATGTTTGCTTTGTGTTCTTCAGAATTTCAATATTTGTAAATATCTATATTTAATGTAAATACTCATGATAGTCATCCATTTGTATAATATTAACTGACTTAGAAAATCCTAAAGGATAAGTTAGACCTAATTATGTACTCAAAAGATGTTACTATCAAACACAGTAAACTTAGAACAAAGTATGAATTAGATGAAATGACTGGCAGACATAAACCTCTACCATTGTTTTACATTTTGATTTCATTTATTTTAAGTTACTAAAAATTAAAAGGAGAATGTTCCACTGGGCACAGTGGCACATGCCTGTAATTTCACCACTTGGAGAGGCAGAGACAGGCAGATTGCTGTGAGTTCAAGGCCAGCCTGCTCTAAAAAGCAAGTCCAGGACAGCAAAGGCTAAAATACTTTCTCAAAAAAGAAAAAAAAGAAGACTTTTCTAGTATCATAATCTAGTCATTAACATATAAAGATATTGTGGGTACTATTAGCATAATAAACATGTTAGAGGCTACTTTCTTCAGACGGTTATCCATATTCACTTATTATACCAAGACTTCCACAGTTTTGATAGTGTCGACATATAAGACTAAAAATATTGGATTAAAAATTCCTAATTACAAATTTGTTATTATGAACTACGGAGAAAATGTAATAAAATTTCCTCTTAAGAATAATGAATTTCAGGGTCAAACTCAGATTCAGAAATCTAGAATATATTAATTTGAGTAAGAAAACAATGGGCTATTCTAAAGAAACTCCAGTATGCATGTTCCAAATGAAATCAGGGTGTAAAATCACTTTGTTTTGAGAATATGTGTCCAAGATTTCAACTGGCCCCAGCCTTCATTACCTGTAACACTGTGTATCACTGATTCTCAACCTGTGAGTCATGACTGCTAAAGATCAGCCACTTTTGATGAGAACTGATAGACTAAGATCAGAAAGAAGAGAAGAACCTCCCCTATCAGTGGACTTGGGGAGTGGCATGCATGCAGAAAGGGGAGGGGGGGATCGGCAGGGGCTTATGGGGGGGATACAAAATGAATAAAGTGTAATTAATAAAAAATTAAAAAAAAGATCATCAGAAAACAGAGATAGTTACATTATGATTCATAACAGTAGCGAAATTACATTTATGAGGTAGCAACAAACATTATTTTATGGTTGGGGGACCTCCACAACATGAGGAACTGTATTAAAAGACTGCAGCATTAGGAAGATTAATACTGTTCTAAATAATGATTAGTTACTAAACATTCTATCCCAAGCCTAAATATGACCAAATATCTTAAGCATGCAATGATTAAATTTTCCTTTCTCTATGACTATGTAATACTGGACACAATTGGACCATATAGGATCTAAGCAATAGGATTTCACAAGATAGTCAAGTTAGGGTGTAATTCAAAGTTATTTTTAAGAAGAATAGTTGGGATCCTGGACTCCTCTACAGAGTAGTCTATGTAGAAATTGTGACATATATAGCAACTTTTTAAATTTATATTTCAGGCATAGATTTTTTTTGGATCTTGAACCTATAGGCATAAAAGGCAAAATCATATTAGTCAAAGAAAATTAACTCTTACTCCATTCCTACAACAACAGCATCAAGTTTATTTGCAGTCCATCTATTCAGGAAATCAAAAGCCGTCTGCTCTGAAATGAAAAGAAAAAGGTAAAAATACTCCCTGTAATTAAACAGTGACAAAACTAATGATAGATATTTATATGAAAAAGTTTTTTCACACTGTCAGACAGGAATCTTTATTTCCTCCCCCTGTTTCCATGCAGAGGACATTAAACCATTGTAACATTCTGCAACCTCTCTTCACAAATGCAGAGGTAGCTTGGTAAATTGGTGTTTTAAAGAGGAAAAGTAGAGCTCCTATCCTTTCCATATCATACTAACTTCCCTTCTTTCATATGATTCCCTGCCCTCTGCCGAGGGTTTGGTTATGAGTCTTAGTGTCTGCTTTGAAACACTGCTAGGTAGAGTCTTTCAGATGCCTTTTGTGGTAGACTCCTGTCATAAGTTCAATGCACATCCCATTTGTCTTTCTAAATGAGGATTAATCACCTTCGCCTGTGTCCACTTTCTTGATTATCTTCTTTAGGTGTGTAGATTTCATTATGTTTATCATATCTTGTAGGTCTATATAAGCGAGTATATACCAAGTTTGTCTTTCTCCTTCTGGGATACTTCACTCAGAATGATCTTTTCTAGATCCCCTTTCCAAGTCTAGGTCCTCCCCTTTCATTTGACCCTGTTTTATCAGGTACCTTCAGTGCTGGCTGCAAAGTCCTCCTCTGTAGCCTAACAGACTGCTCCTCCCCTGGGGGGAGGGGGTCAAACAGCCTGCCCTTGAGATCCTGATAGAAATAGTCCTTGTTCTCCTTACTTTGGAAAACTACTTGGTTACTGAGCTACCACGGGCCACATCCGAGCCGAAGTTCTAGGTTATATCCATAGATGGTCCTTGGTTGAGTGTCAGTCTCAGAAAAGACCCTGTGCCCGGATATATTTGGTCCTTGTAGAGCTCCTATCCTTGAGGGAGCGGGATACAGCTGGGACACAGAGTTAACAAAATGTAACTAAAAAGAAAAATAAAATTTAAAAAAATAAATAAAAAAAAAGAGGAAAAGTAGGATCGGCACTTTTTAGGTTTATCTTGCCATCTTCTATTAGCCACACAGTGACCCTTCTTCGTATCTCATTGTGGACTGGCATGTACTATCCTCTGCTCTCTGCTGTTTCAATCTGGACGTTTTAGACAGTAGAGGAAGTTAATTGGTTTTCCTGCAGTTACCACAGCTAAGTCTGTAATCCAAGACTACCCAACATGAACTCTCAAAGTCTTCATTAGAAATGACCGTGTTGACAGTCATCTACATCAGCAGGTCTCAACCTGTGGGTAACTTAGCAAACCTCTATCTCCAAAAATATTTATATTATGATTTATAACTATAGGAAAATTACAGTTATGAAATAGTAATGAAAATAATTTTATTGTTGGGAGCCACCACAACATGAAGAACTGTATTAAAGTATCACAGCATTAGGAAGGTTGAGAACTGATGGTCTACATGAACTCTGAACATAATCTTTCATAAGATGGGTCATAAATTCAGAAAGAAGGACTAGATCTCTCTCTTCACATACATATGTGTATGAGTATGTATATGTAAGTAGATGATTCATGGTTAGACACTCAGAGATATTGGTTGTATAAGATAAAAACATATTGAATAAAAGCTCTGCTTTAAAGAATATGTCCCATTATACGATGCTTCAATAATTATGACATTAACAAAAATTCTAAAGAATGGCAACTAAGTTTTTAAAAATCACATAGCCAAGAAGGATCACATGTACTCAGGTGAGAGTGAGAACATCACGCCCCCACCCACAACCCCAACACCAAACAAGCATGGACAAAGATGTTACTTTATCTCAACATGAAAGTGTAAGTAGTATTTGGGGGAACAGCATAATATGAAAAAGCATTTTGAGACACAGAAATGAGGTAATATGAGCTCTTCAGAAAGCAAAAGCTCAGCTCATTGTGAGGCTGAAACAAAATTGTGGAAAGGAGCACTGACTGAATATAAGAACATTAAATCTAAGGTCAGGCAATAACATGGTAAGGGATAAAATGATGAGGGATTTCAATGTGTTCTATTAAGTGATATTAATGAGTGACTGAGAATAAAGAAATTATATATCTTTAAAAAAACAAACAAACATTGAAATCAAATGGATTTCTTTCTGCATCTGAGTCAAATAACCCAGAGGCAGAAAGACACAAATTATCTATAATAAATTATAAGTGGATATTAGCCATATAATATAAAATAAACATACTAAAATCTATAGCCCTAAAGAAGATAGGCAACAAGGTGAACTCTAGAGAAGATGCTTAATCCTCATTCAGAAGGGCAAACAGGATAGACATCAGAACTAGAAGACAAGGAACAGGACAGAAGCCTTCCACAGAGGACCGCTGAAGGACTCTACCCACTAGGGTATTAAAGGAGATACTGAGTCTCATAGCCAAAGTTTGGGCAGAGTGCCGGAATCCTTATGGAAACAGTGGGAGATAGACATGGAGGGGACAGGAACTCCACAAGGAGACCAACAGAGCCAAATTACCTGGGTCCAGAGGGACCTGAAGAGACTGATACTCCTATTAAGGACTATGCATGGAGAGGACTTAGATCCCCTGTTCAAAGGAAGCCCATTGGCTGCTCAGTTTCCAAGTGGGTTCCCTAGTAAGGGGTACAGCGGCTGTCTCTGACATGAACTCAGTGGCTGGCTCTCTGATCACACACTGCCAAGGGTTCAGCCTTGCCAGGGCACAGAGGATGATAATGCAGCTAGCCTTGATGAGAACTGGTAATCTAGGGTCAGATAGAAGGGGAGGAGATCCTACCATATTAGGGGACTAAGGAAAAAGCATAGAGGGAGAAGAGGAAGTGTGGGTGGGACTGGGAGGAGGTAAGAGAGGAGACTGTAGAGGGGATACAAAGTGAATAAATTGTAATGAAAAAATATATTAATAAAATTAAATTAAAAACAATTTTTAAATTTAAAATTAAAAAACAATCATCCAATAAAGATGTATGCAAACGAAAGAAAAAAAAAAGATGAGATGGGTGAGGAAATACTGATAAAATAAAATAATATGTCAAAAGTCGTGTAACATCTCTGAAAGGTAGAAAGACTACTGTCAAAAGGGAAAATATGCCTTCTCCTGGGAGTGCTGGAAAGAAGAGTGCAGGATTGGCATGTTGGAAGCAAAATTTACAGAAAAGGATTCAGGTAAGAAGGGAGGATTCAAAATTTGAAAGCTCCCATAGTAATGAGAAGAGGGACTGCCTCTGACATAAACTAATCGGCCTGCTCTTTGATCACCTCCCCCTGAGGGGGAGCAGCCTTACCAGGCCACAGAAGATGACAATGCAGCCACTCCTGATGAGACCTAATTGACTAAGATCAGAAGGAAGGAGAGGAGGACCTCCCTATCAGTGGACTTGGGGAGGGGCATTTGTGAAGAAGGGGGAGGGAAGATGGAATTAGGAGGGGAGGAGGGTGGGGTTTATGGGGGGGGGTAAAAAGTGAACAAAGCATAATTAATAAAAGTTAAAAAAAATTTGAAAGCTCCTTTCCCAGTTTGTAAGCTGTTGTTTTGTTCTGATGACAGTGTCTTTTGCTTTACAGAAGCTTTTCATTTTCATGAGGTCCCATTTATTGATTATTGCTCTTAGAGCCTGTGCTGTTGGTGTTCTATTCAGTAAGTTGTCTCCTGTGCCAGTGAGTTCTAGGCTCTTCCCCACTTTTTCTTCTAACTGATTTAGTGTATCTGGTATTATGTTAAGGTCTTTGATCCCTTGGACTTTAATTTTGTGCAGGGTGATGAATATTGATCTATTTTGCATTTTCTTCATGTAGACATCCAGTTTGGACCAGCACCATTTGTTGAAGATGCTGTCTTTTTTCCATTGAGTTTTGGCTTCTTTGTCAAAAGAAGGTGTGTGGTTAGGTGTGTGGATTTATTTCTACGTCTTCAGTTTGGTTCCATTGATCCGCCTTTTTTTTTCTATGCCAATACCATGCAGTTTTTATTACTATTGCTATTACTATTGTAATACAGCTTGAGATTGGAGATGGAGATACCTCCAGATAATCTGTTGTTGTCCAGGATCGTTTTGGAAATTCTGTTTTTTGTTGTTGTTGTTGTTTTCTCCATTTGAAGTTGAGAATCTTTCTTTCAAGGTCTGTAAGAATTGTGTTGATATTTTGATGAGAATTGCATTGAATCTGTAGATTGCTTTTGGCAGAATGGCCATTTTCACTATGTTAATCCTACCTATCCATGAGTACAGGAGATAATTCCATCTTCTGATATCTTTTTCAATTTCTTTCTTCAGAGACTTGAAGTTTTTATCAAACAGGTCTTTCACTTGCTTGTTAAAGTCACCCCAAGGTACTTTATGTTACTAGTGTCTATTGTAGAGGCTGTTGTTTCCCTGATTTGTTTCTCAGCCCTTTTTTCTTTGGTATACAGGAGGGATTCTGATTTTTTTTGAGTTAATTTTGTATCCAGCCACTTTGCTGAGGAAGAGGGCCTTGGGTAAGATGATTAATCCTCACTTAGAAAAACAAATGAGATGGACTTTGGAAGTAGGAGAAAACAAGTAACAGGACAGGAGCATACCACAGAGGGCCTCTGAAAGACTCTACCTAGCAGTGTATCAAAGCAGATGCTGAGACCCATAACCAAACCTTGGGCAGAGTGCAGGGAATCATATGAAAGAAGGGGGGATTAGTATGACCTGGAGAGGACAGGAGATCAACAAGGACCAAATATATCTGGGCACATGGGTCTTTAATGAGACTGTATCTCCAACCAAGGACAATGTATGGATATAAGCTATAACCTCTGCTTGGGTGTAGCCCATGGTAGCTCAGTATTCAAGTGGGTACCCTAGTAAGGGGAACAGGGACTTTCTCTGACATGAACTCAATGGCTGGCTCTTTGATCTTCCCCACACCCCTGAAAAAGGAAAAGCCTTGCTAGGCCACAGAGAAGAACATTGCAGCCAGCCCTGAAGATACCTGATAAGCTAGGGTCAGATGGAAGGGGAAGAGGACCTCCCCTATCAGTGGACTTGGAAAGGGTCAGAGAGGAGATGGGTGAGGAAGGGTGGAATTGAGAGGGAATGAGGGAGTGGGAGACAGCTGGGATACAGTTAATAAACTGTAATTAATATTAAAAAATAAAGACAAAATTTGAAAGCATATTATCCCCCAAGTCCTCTATTTTCTCTGAAATAGTATTAAATGTGGTCTCTAGAAGTCTAGAACAGTCACAGTGTTCTTCAGTGGCAAAGAGAGAGGTAGCCTGACAGGGTTTCCTTGCCCACCACAAAGTATTAACTACTAGAAACAAAACACAACCATGGGAAGCCAGACAATTAGCATCAGCGTCAATCACAGCCTAACTGGAGGTCCTTTCTACAAGTTAACAGTCCTGATAGCAGAATCTCATAATCTATTTAATCTAAACTCTAAACCACCAGACTTATGAAAATCACTGTCCTGGAAAGGGAAATCAGCAATCCTTGTCACACTTGGTGCTCTAGAGTTCATCTATAAAGCATTATTTTTAAAGTCTTTGGATGAGAAAACAAGACTTGTAATGCTTTCCTAACTGACAGATGTAGAGTACCTCCTTCCTTATTTATTATTTTCACATTCCACAACACAGTCATAATTCTTGTTCCTAAATTGCTGTCATTCAGTGTCTTTACATTTATCGGGATGATAATTAATACCAAAAGCAGTCTGTGCAGTTGAGTTTTAAGGCAGTGGCCATAAAATAAAAGTGTTTTTTTTTTTTTGTTTGTTTTTTGTTTTTTGTTTTTGTTTTTTTTTTTTTTTTTCTAAGACCATAGAACTGAATTTGCACCTCGGCACGAGAAACTTACATAGTTTGTATTTTGCTTTTTACTTTAACTTCTGTAAAGAATAAAATAAATATAATAAAGGGTCCTTCTTACCCCACAGCCCTAGTATTTGTCTTGCAGTTTATCTGGAGTCACTTCCTCCCTTCTATACTCTATAAACCTTGAATAACTTAAATAAATAAAAAAAACATTTGGAATGTAAAAGCAGCACTGTTCTTTAAGATTTGTGCTAAACATGGAGCAGGGATTGACCCAAATATTTGTTTTTAATACACTGAATTCTGTTGCCATTCTTGACCTGCAAGAAAGCATACTCAGTTTTCTCTACTATATTAAAAAAAAAAAAACCTCACAATGTTTTTATAATTGAGGAATCTATGGGCTATTCAAAGAAAACATGAGGTTAATAACAAAATATATACTATTCTAAAAATTTTATTATTCCATTTATTTGCTTGTTTTAATAGTTTACTAACAATAATGGCTTTCCATACATTAGTATGATCTATTATAGAATTTTCCAAAGTTTTTACAAAAGTTAATTTTTTTTATATTTTTACTTCTATCAGCTTTATTTGCCCCTCATATTTTTTACATGAGACAAGCATAGAATCTGAACTTCAAGAATAAGACCTGTTATTATAAAGCCTTATTTTGTGTTCCCCTCTTAGAATCAAGTTGAACAACTTCTAAGCTTTAACACTTTACTAATGTTCTTATTAACAAATTACAAACTCTCTCATATAGCAAGAGCATCTGCATCCTGTCAGTATCACAGCTGCTGAAAGTATGCTGAAGTCAAGGAGAACATTGTAGCAATTGGTTTGTGCATGTCTTTTTTATATGGTTTCCCTCACATGAAAGATGAGAACACTACCTGAGGTAAGAGAGTGGGCTGGGGCTCATTTGCGAGGATGCTCCCTCAGCCTGCAGAAAGCCCTGAGTTTGAACCCCAGCAGTCCTAGGGCCAGTTGTGAGACAAATGCCTACAATTCCAGCTCTCAAGAGGTATATGTAGACCATGGCAACTCAGTGTCTTAGCGGGTTCCCTAATAATAGAAACAGGAACTGTCTCTGACATGAACTCAGTGGCTGGCTCTTTGACCCCCCCCTCCAAAGACATGAGCCTTACCAGGCCACAGAGGAAGACAATGCAGCCAGTCCTAATGAGACCTGATAGACTAGAATCAGATGTATGGAGAGGAGGACCTCCCCTATCACTGGACTGGTAGAGGAGCATGGGTGGAGAAGAGGGAAAGAGTGTGGGATTGGGAGAGGAAGAGGGAGGGAGCTACAGATGGGACACAAAGTGAATAAACTGTAATTAATAAAAATAAAAATAAAATGTGTCTTTTAAAAAGAGATATATGATCACATATCTGCTAAGTAAAGAGTTCTAGGGCAGATTGAGATAGAGTTTGTATCTCAAAAACAAAGAACAAACTTCGATCATTACAAAGCAAGACTTGTAGTGATAATCGCTATGAGAGAACTCATGAAAGACATCTGTATCTACCAGTGTATTGGGTATGTAATGTGTACACCCCTATCAAGTATGTCCATATAAGCATATGTAAATATTCCAAGACTTGTATATCACCAACTTGCAACTAGTTATCCTTTATCCTTATGTAATAAACTTACTGAAACTTCCGAAACAAAATCCTCCACCATGAAAATAGATCACAGCCCGTCTTGGGGCTTCTGACTTTCTCTTGGGTAAGTACAAGCGCACAGGGATGTCCACAAAGGCCGTATCAGTTACTGTGATGTGTTCGTCTGAATGTGGTGGTATATAATCCAAACTGATTATCATGGAAATAAATTCTTCATATCTCATAACTCCTATATTTTCAAGACACAGGGCCTATAAAAGTAAAACAAGATAACTCAACTTTAGATCTATAATATCAAAAAGCTGTAAAAAGAACATTTTGAAGAAAACAGAAAAAAAACAGCAAAAAGTAATCAAACAGAAGTAATGAACTGATAAAAGCAAGTCCAAATAGTATTACGGTGACCCTTCTGCCTTTGAAAATTTCATGTGTTATGGATTAAATATTATTCAGAAAAAAGTCTTTATTTATATTTTAAAGAGTTTTGTATTTATTTCATTATAAATACTTACAAAAATTCTAAGTTTTACAATCTCTCAAGTTTTGTATGTTGTCATGTTTCCCTTCTAAAGTTACTTTACTTAGTTCAATTTTTAAATATTATGGTATGCCCACATTATATATGATCTGATTTGCTTCTTTTTTTTAACCCTTATTTTTTAACCCTTATTAAGTCACTTATTTCCACCTGGCCCGTTTCTCTAAAATCCTTCTTTAATTTTACTGTAGGAAATTCCCTGGACTTCTCTGACCAAACTTATCTAGGAACTGGACAATTTACTCAATTTACTAGAGTTTCAGAGGCAACAGCACAGTAACCATTCTTAATGCATTATTACAGGGTAAGGTGCCTACAGCTTTTCTCTACACTTTGGTGAAGGAAGTGAGCTCAGAACAGCCAGACCTGTAATGTCATTGAAACATGAGCCCTGCTCACAGGAACTCACAGAGACTGGAGCAGCCTGTCCTGGGACTGCACAGGCTTGTACTGCATCCTCTGAGTTTATAGTACGGCTTCCAGTTCAGTTTTATTTTATGGGATTCATGGGTGTGCAAATGAGTGCCTCTCTGATTCTTGTGCCTTCTCTAGGGCTCTTTTTCTACTGTTTCTTTGTCTTGTCCAACTTTGATATGACCATTATTGCTTTGTATTGCTATATCTGATTTATTTTGTATACATACATAAAAAAGAATGAATAAAGGAAAACCTCAAAACTATGGTAAAAGTTACCAACTTTAGTCGCTTAAACCTGCTGGAGGAGGGAAATCGATTTTCTCCAATAGAGTAATACTGCACATACCAACCCCTCCAGGACAGGCCTCATGTTCAGACCAACATATAGGGACTCCAGCCTTTCTGTGGGATTTTATTTGGTTACTGTCGAATCTTTTTTTTTTTTTTTTTTTTTTTTTTTTTTTTTTTTTTTTTTTTTTTTGACTGTTTTGATTTTTACTTTTTGGGTGTTGTTGTATTTAGTTTCATAGCTTTGAAAGGATTTATTGGTGTGTTCAGTTTTGAGTTTATTTCCTGAGAAAACAACTGAAAGTTTGGTGCATAAGGAGGAGAAGAGGATGTGGAAGGACATGGGAGAGGAGAAGAATATTAGCAAAATATATTTAAATTTAAAATGGTCTTAAATAATACTAATATAATAAAAGCAAATATAAGGAAAGATACGAATTAATGTACTTTCTTCAATTAACTTTTTAAAAATCCATGCAATGATAATACCAATAATAAATCCATTATTGAGCTATATTAGAGTATACATGAATGAATATTTTTAGTGTGTATACAAGAGTGTAGTCAGGGGCTGGAGAGATGGCTCAGAGGTTAAGAGCACTGGTTTTTCTTCCAGAGGTCATGAGTTCGATTCCCAGCAACCACATGACGGCTCACAACCACCTAAAATGAAATCTGGTGCCTTATTCTGACGTGCAGGTGTGCATGTAAACACAACATTATATACGTAATAAATCTTAAAACAAAAAAAGAAGAGTGTAGTCCATAAAAATATTCAATAAACAGTGTCTTACTATTTAATTATTTTTTCTTTGTTTTTTGTATCTTCAATTTCAAATGTTTATTTAAACAAATTCTTAGAAACTTCCAGGGACTTAGGACTAAGCTTATTTAAAATTACTTCTTTATAAAGTACAGGGGCAATAATTTAGAAAAGTCATAGCATTATTTTTTGGTCCCCTTTTCAATTTTCAGGATGTTTAATTATATATTTTTTAGCATATTTATAAATACTCTCTTGGAATTAAAGCACATAAGGACCATTTTTAAGAACATCGCCTTTTTCTTCAGTGTGGAGAATTTATACTTCAAAATATTTAATACATAACATATGTTCAATTAATGCCATTAGCTGGATAAGTGAACAAATTTTGCCACCAGCAAAAATAGGTCCAGTTATTCTAGAACTTCATGATCACTGATCATTTCAGAAGAAAAATGAAAAAAAATTACTGAAATTAATATGATAGATAGGCCATTAATGACACGATACAGATGATGAAGTATTCCCAAATAAATACTAATTAAAATTGTCAAAATTATTTTACATAAGCAAATTGCCTGTCTGCAACCACTTGTTACAAACCAATATCCATCTAGAAATGAGGGCAGAGCAAAAGGTAAATGGTGACCTGCCAGTCAAGGTCTCCTAGAGAGTGAGGCATGGGTTTTATTTAAAATTATTCTAAACACAGGGTTTCGCACCCACCAGAGAGCAGCGCACCTGTTCTCGGGAAAATGTATTTGCATTGTCTTCCTCTCACTACCTGCTCTGGTTTTCTTTTCACATAAAACATGCCATGTCCTCTGACATAATCTGATTGGCCTGCTCGTTGATCACTTCCCCCTGAGGGGGGAGCAGCCTTACCAGGCCACAGTAGAGGACAATGCAGCCACTTTTGATGAGAACTGATAGACTAAGATCAGAAAGAAGAGGAGAACCTCCCCTATCAGTGGACTTGGGGAGTGACATGCATGCAGAAAGGGGAGGGAGGGTGGGATCGGGAGGGGAGGAGGGAGGGGCTTATGGGGGGATACAAAATGAATAAAGTGTAATTAATAAAAAATTAAAAAAAAAAAGAATGAATGGAAAAAAAAAAACATGCCATGCCCTGCTCTTTTTTGCAACTCATCATAGCGTATCTAGTTTTTTAATTCAAATATCTCCTATTAATCCTACATATAATTCTGTGATTTTTCTTCAAAAAAATTAAAACATTGTGCCATTAGTTACTTCATTGAATCCACGTTTTTGAATATATGTCATAAAATCTTGACGAATGGTATATTTCTCAGAGATGTATATAGATAACTTTCTATATACATGCTGACAGAAGTACTCATCATATGTAATGGTTACAGGTAATCATTAATTAATTTTTTCATTAATAATTCTGGAGTATGCTGTCTTCGTGAGTATAGGTACATACTTCCAATTATGAGTGCCTGCAAAACACACCTGGTGGAAGAAAGAGCTCACCCTTATATAACGCCCTGTGACCTCCACTCAAACCTTGGCATGAACATTCCCTCCAAAACACACACACTATAATTAATTGATTAATTAATTAATTGATTAAACATAATAAAACAGTTCTTGATGCTAATTAAATATAAATGAATAGATGAGCTATTAATACGAGTGCTTAAGATATATATCAACATATTCAAATAAATTTTCATTTGATGAATTTATTCTTGAAAATAAGATTTTTAAAAATAGCTTTATTTCTTTTATGTCAGCATTTTCTGGATGTAAATTGATACTCAGGCATTTTAAGACTTTACCTAAAAGTACAAGTGCAGAGATATTAATATGCATAATCTTTAATACAATCAATAAAAATAAGTAAAATTAGTATTCTTACTTTAAGATTAATTGGTATAATGGAGCATCAAGGGACTTTCTCAAGGTTATGTGGAGTTATTTTACAAAGCTTTCAAAACAGCATATGATTGCACAATAATTTTCAAGGCTGTATTATAAAGATTTTTAAACTTTTATATGTTAAAATTATTTTTTATTATCTTTGCAACTGGATTACAGAATTAATTACCAAAATATTCCAAAGAATTTATCAAAGATTTCTCAGTTTGCTAGGACAAACTTTAATTACACCTTTATTTTGTCCATTATCAATTTAGGAGCACAGGGTAATAAGAGCATATGGAGCTGAGAGAGTAACAGCATCATTTTAGAGTGTGATGTTCTCACAATGTTGCAGTTTGGATGAAAATTTGCTACCCTGAAGTCTGAATACATGTGAAATAATCAAAGCAAGACTGACGTGTGATTGCTCATGTATTCTTTCTTCAATCAAGGAATCAGAACATTTGAAAAGTGAAAGAAAGAACTGTGGAGAAGGTGGGAGAAGGACATTCTCAAGGCAGCAGCTAGAGACCGCTGAGTCACAGAACTGTGGCTCTTTCTCTTACACCCTGCACTTCTGTAACTACTTACCATCTCCTAATTCTGTTTTTTATTAAATTTTTATTTTTTACATTAATTACAGTTTATTTACTTTGTATTCCAGCTGTAGGCCCCTCTCTAAGTCTGCTGATAGGGGAGGTCCTCCTCCCCTTCCATCTGACCCTAATTTATCAGGTCTTATCATCTCCTAATTCTGCTGCCTTCGATTTTCAGCCTCTAACTATTTCAACTGTCAAAAGGTACTTCTGGAAGGCACCCATTTTGCACACAGAAGAGTACAGTTGAATCAAGGCAGTTTGGGGTCAGAGTAAAGCTACCACTCTCTCCTGTGCACTCATCTGAATATATTTTTCCTGTTCTATAAACTAACTCAGTTAGAAGACAGTGGAGAGTTGGTGGAAATATATGCGTATGCAATGAAAGCAGTGTCTAAAGTGCCACTTTCTGACTATAAGGGAACAATCATGTCAATTATATCCACTCTGTATATTAAGATAACCCAAGAATTTCAGCAATTTATAACTGTAGATAGACAACAGAAAATATAGAAATAAGAAACTAAAAAAAATCATAAAAAATGGTAATAAGAAAAGTCCTGATTTAGTTTCACACAAGTACTATTATCAATAATTCATATCTTTATAGTATAAGATAATTGTGGAACCATCGTTTTTTCAAAGAGCTCAAGTAAAAATCAAAAAACTATTCTTTTAAAAGCAATTTCTCTTAAAATTCTGCTATCAATAATATTATCATAATATTCACAAGTATTCTTTCTTAATCATTGAAAATATTATATTAGTCTTACCATAAGTGTACAAGTTTTAGCAACTGCATCCAAGGCCATTACTTTCCAGGTTTCTTCAATGTTGTCAGGTATGGGTGTATAGATGTAAGATAAAAAGCTAACACAAAGCAGCCCCAAACAGAGAGCTTTGAATCCCATAGTATTCCAGTCTCTTCACAGTGTAGAGATGAAATATTTTCATAAATACTGAATAATAAGCCACAGGATGAGCACAGACTCAGAACGCTTTCAGGTGATGCTACTGTTCTCACAAGGTGAAGCTGATTCTTAATTCAAACACTGCAATGTCAGTGCTAACTTGTTTTGCAAAAGCACAACTCTGAAGCAGATGTCGAAATTCATCAGGTCAGGTACCTATTATTAACATACAAGTAAAATTCCCTGCAGTGTTCCTTTATTCTGTGGTACTAACAACAGCACAAATAGTTTTAGAAAATCAGGGCCCAAATGCAAGCACTTAATAATTCTTGAAGTAATCTTTTATGGATGCATTATTTTATGACAGGTTTATAGAAAGTTATTTGATATTCAGTCAAAATATATGTTAACATTATTACAAAAGATTATTGCCTATGTTAACAAACCTGACTGGTGTGGACCAAGCTTTAGAATGAAAGAAATGGGTGTGAGACTTGTTCAAGTTCTATCAGGCATCAAGCTAGAACTTTAAACCTGGACCGGAATTACCAGAAAGTTCTGAAGTATTTCAGCAAACATTTTGGTTATTAGAAGATTGCATAATATGATTACTCAAATTTATGAGTCAACAAGGCTGGAATTAGCTGCTTAGTGTTAATAAAATACTGTTCCTGGGTGTGTCTGTAAGGGTGTTTCTAGGAGAGAATTATGTTTGAGTTGATAGCTTGGCTCACAGATGTGAACAGGTGTATTGGAAGCACAAATGAAAGAAAAATGTAAGGAAAGCATCATTTCACTCTTTTTTCTCTCTGAGTGTACCTGATTGTAACTCTAATCTTATCAATGTTGATGTGCTTTCACCTTATGTCCTTGTCATCCTTAATTCATGTACTTGAGAATGTTTCTACTCAGTTTCTGCTTTACATCCCCTCACTCTGAAGTTCTCAGTCTCCTTATGTTGTTAGTATTGAATCTGGAAACTGCTGAATGTAATTCCTGAGTCCCTGTGATTAACTATTATTTTTTTTAATTAAGCCGAGTCATCCAGTCTCAGAAAACCTGCTGAGATACACTCTTAAACTTCAACAAAGGATTCTGTTCATATGTTCCTCCCTCCCTCTTGCTACATTAGCTAATTGAATGACCGTGAATGACTGATGTTGTCCCTATGAGGTACATGCTCTTTTCCTAGGATCAAGTCAGTAACCTTGGTTTATTTTGTTTACATTTAGCAAATCACATAAGAACTCTCTTTCCAGAGGCTTCAAGATGGCAGCAACCAGCATGCACCATAGCTGAGGGACAGAAGATCAGAAACTCTGAAACTGATGAGTGGAGTTTGTGGCTGAAGCCAGAATATCAATATTGAAGCTTCCTGGGCTAGAAGGGACAACCCCTGAGCTGGGACAGTTTGGATCCAGGAGGCTAGGCTGCTGTGATGGTGGCTGCCTCTGCCCCTAGCATTATCCTCTCTGCTCTGGGACTGAAAACAGCAGAGGTAACCCTAACTACCGGCCTCCCTGGAAGGGAGCCGAACAGCAGACACCACTGATAGATCTACTACACTTTCATTTGCTCCTATGGACCCAAATCTGAGAGTAGAGAACCAGTGGGAGGGGGGAAGCACCTGTACTTTCCTCAAAGACCTGCAAGTAAGTGAGTGTGTGTGCCTTCTAGTGAGTGAGTGCAGAGCCACAGATCCAGGGTCCCTCTATGATAGCAGCTGGACATCAGATCCCTCTTACCTTCAGCCCCACTGTGGGCAACATACGATCCTGGGGACAGCTTTCTCAACACTGAAGCCCTGTTCTGTGAGTCTCCCAATGGAGTCCAGGCAAACAATTCCTGGAGCCAAGATGGTGCAACCAGGACAGAGCTGAGTGCCTGGAGGAGAGTAAAACAGGCCTGTGCACCTGAGCAGGCACAGCGTGCCTGTGAAATGCACCAGCACCGCAACCTGTACTTATGCTCCACCCTTCCAGGCATCTACACTGCAAATGAACCCAGTCTGCCAAGGCACACTTCCACACACACTTCCACACCTGCACCCACGTGCTTGCAACCGTCCGTCCCCAACATCCACTCTCATCTTCCTGAAGAACACTCCAGACTCTAGAGACAGATGGACTCAGTCTGCAGAACAGGCTCCAGGAACAAAAGCGAAGGTTACAGATAAGCACATGGCTAGAGGGCAGCGTAAGAACACATCCAACCAAAATCAGGACATATGGCTTCACCAGCAACCCCAAAATACAGTATTTTAACTCATCAAAGTATTTTAATTCATCAGAAACACAGGAAAATGAGCTCGAAACTAAGCTTATTCAGTTATTAGAGGCACATAAAGAGAAAAGAAACAAAGCTCTCAAAGAAATACAGGCAAATACAACCAAACAAATAGAGACACATGTAGAGGAGTGTATAGAGATATAGAGGCATATAGAGAGGTAACAAACAACAATAGCAAAAAACAAACAAACAAAAAACAATAAAGGCCATCATGGACAGACAGGAATCCAAACAGATGAAGGAAATGGTGCAAGATGTGAAAACGGAATTAGAATCAATAAAGAACAGGAAAGAAGCCTACCACAGAATCCCTTTAAACAGCTACCCAGCAGGGTATCAAAACATATGGTGAGACTGATAGCCAAACTTTGGGCAGAATGCAGGGAATCTTATGAAAAAAAGGGGGAGCGATAAAGACTTACAGGGGACAGGAGCTCCACAAGGAGAGCAAAAGAAGCAATAAAATCTGTGCAAAGGGGTCTTTTCTGAGACTGATACTCCAAACAAGGACCGTGCATGGACATAACCTAGAACCCCTGCACAGATGTAGCCCATGGCACCTCAGTCTCCAAGTGATTTCCTTTAGCAATGGGAACAGGGACTGGCTCTGATGTGAACTCAGTGGCTGGCTCTCAGATCACCTCCCCCTGAGGGGGAACAGCCTTGCCAGGCCACAGAGGAAGATAAAGCAACCATTCCTGATGAGACCTGATAGGCTAGGGTCAGAGGGCCTATCAGAAAATATCAACAAAATACTATCTGTTGGTGTTTTGTTGAGGAAGTTGTCTCCTGTAGCAATGAGTCCTAGGCTCTTCCCCACTTTTTCTTCTAATCGATTTATTGTGTCTGGTTTTGAGGAGTTTAAGTTAGCCTGGGTATAGTTAGACTGAGTAAAAAGCCATCTTGACTGGGAGCTGAATTCAGGTACCAGGAAATATCGCACAATGTGCAATTGGCAGAAAACAAATTTAATTATCCTAGCAACAGCCTTCAGGAAATAATACAGAATAATTGCTTCAAAGAAAATAGAGACAATCTCCCTGGCAATAATCAATGGGAATAGGTGGAGAAAATTGGTGGTAAAATTCTCCCCAATGTTTCAGATATGGTTTAGAAAAATAGCCATTTTGATTATATGTCTTAACCATTGTGATTGTGTGCCTCAGAAAAGGTCATCCCGCCCTGCTAAACTTCACCTAATTCTGTAACACCAAGGCTGTGCCCCCCTGCTTGCTGTCATGGAAACCCACTGATCACAGACTTTCCCTTTAAAAATCCTGTTCAATCAGAACTCTGGGTCCCATTTCTCTACTCCTGAAACTTGGGTCCCAAGTTTGATTGCTCTCATAATAAAGCTCTTTTGCAATTGCATCGAGTTGCCTCCTATTGGTCTCTGAGGGTCCTGTGACATTACAGCTTTATGTTGAGGTCTTTGATCCACCTGGACCTTAGTTTTGTTTAGAGTGATAAGTATAGATCTATTTGCATTTTTCTACCTGTAGACATCCAGTTAGTCCAGCACCATTTGTTAAAGATGCTGTCTTTTTTCCATTGTATGCTTTTGGCTTCTTTGTCAAAAGTCGAGTATGTGTAGGTGTGTGGGTTTATTTCTGGGTCTTCTGCTTGATTCCATTGATCCACCGTTCTGTTTCTATGCCAGTACCATGCAGTTTTTGTTGCTATTGCTCTGTAGTACAGCTTGAGATCAGGGATGGAGACACCTCCAGACTGTTATTGCACTTGCTTGGTTAGAGTCACCTCAAGGCACTTTATGTTATTTGTGGTTATTATGAAGGGTGTTTTTTCCCTAATTTCTTTCTCAGCCCATTTTCTTTTTATACAGGAGGGCTACTGATTTTTTTGTAGCCCTCCTGTAGAAGACACAACAACAACAACAAAAAGAGAACAAACTTAAGGTCAAAGTAACAAGGAATGCACATACTGCTTTCACATGATAATAAAAATTTGTACACGTACAAGAACAGAAAGGAATTGTGGGAGAAAAGAGAATAATGTTTGCATAACCAAGAGGTTAGTTTGCTGAGCCTCGGAAACACATTCTAACAGTTCAGGACAGAGTATGTTTTTGTTGAGACTTAAGCAGTGTTGTGTTAGTTGACTGACACCTGTGGCATCTTGGAAGCCTCTTCCTCCACTTCATTTCTAACCAGATCAGTTTCAAACATGTTACAATGAATAAAACTTTCTCAATTTTCTCTATGATGAACCCATGTTTTCCAGTAGGATAGTGACTGTTTCTAACCATCTGCAAAAATGTCTCTCCTTTCATCTTATAAATTAGGATAGTCTGAACTGTTGGACATGAACCAACTGAAACAATATAGATAATACTTTGGGATATTTGTTCTCTAGAGAGGGATTTCCAGGTGAAATGGCAGATGAGAAGTAGACCCCTATGTGATCTTATAAGGGAGAAAAATAGCTAAAGCAGAAGACATTCACTTTTTAATTTAAATTTATTTCTTTTTTATTAATTACAATTTATTCACTTTGTATCCCAACTGTTGCCCCCTTCCTCATCCCATCTGAATCTCACCCTCCCTCCTTCTTCTCCACCCATGCCCTACCCTCAGTCTACTGACAGGGACTCAGTGGTCTGCTCTTTGATCACCTCCCCTTGAGGCAGGTGCAGCCTTACCAGGCCACAGAGGAAGACAATGCAGCCACTCCTGATGAGACCTGATAGGCTA